TTACCCTAAACTTGAAAGCCCTAAACTGCTAAACCCTAAACCTTAAACCTTAAATCCTAAACCCTAAACCTTAAACCCTAAACCCTAAACTCCAGGCCCCACGATGCCGATTGGACCATTCCGTCGGCTCGAGGTGACCGACCTTCAATGCAGGCACGCCGTTATATGGAAGGGTTTAGGGGTTTTAGGCTTTTAGGCTTTTAGGGTTTAGGGTTTAGGGGTTTTAGGGTTTGGGGTTTAATGGAAAATAAAATGGAAACTACGATATTGGGGTTATACAGAGTTTAGGGTTTAGGGTGTAGGGTTACATCTAAGGTTCGAGGTATGGGCCTGTAATATGGCGCGTTAGGCCCTTTAGGGGAATTGTAGGGACACTTAAGGGTACATAAGGGTATATAGCAGGTATATAAGGATCCCCGGGATAAGGGGGACCCTTGGTTTCAACCTTAGATATAGGGTGTAGGGTTATGGTTGGAAATTGTATTAGGGGGTCTACGAGTTTGGGATTTATGGTTTAGGACCTAGGGCTTAGGAGATTCAGTGCAGAGAGATTTGGGAAAGGGCAAGTTACTGCGCATCTTCAAAGCGCAGCATTTGAGAGTTTCACAGGCTTAGCTAATTTGAGCTTTACGGGTTTAGGGTTGTGGGATTTCTTTTTTTGAACGTCCGCGGCATCAGGATCGCATTGATGCCATACATTTGGAGGGGTTTCGGGGGCTAAGAGGGTTTAGGGGGTTTCGAGCTTAGGGTGTAGGGGTTTAGGGTTTAGGGTGTAGGGTACCCACGCACAGCACACATACACACGTGCATATATATATATGTATATATACATCCTGTACACATATGTACATATTTCTATTTATATGTGGGATTTGTTGAGGGCTATAGATGTCCTTAATATAGGGGCTGCTTTGTGAAGCTGCCATGCGTTTGCATTCCCATGGGTCGCGTCTCAAGCCTTCCAAGCCTTTGAAAATGTTCTTGAACGGCATTGCTGCCTGTGAGAATTTCTCAAACTGCCCCCTCTATCTATCTCCTTTACAGAGAACCCTATATCTTAAACCTTCCCCTATGGCCCTCTAGTCCTCCCCCTATATATCGCCGGTGGCTGGAACCTTTCCGAGAAACCCCAGAAGGTCTCAGCCTAAACCCTGAAGCGTGTTTATGTCCCGGGTAGCCGGTGCTGTAGCTCAAGCAAGACGTGGGGAGTTTGGGATTTAGGGGTCATTTTTGATCTAAGAGCTTTCCATTTCGATTTCAGTGGATTTAGGGATTCGGCTTTCAGGGTTTCGGGCATAGATGTCCGTCATGGACCTCCAATCAGCGCTGAACTGCAAGCCAGTTTTTGGCTTCTTGCACTGCGCGCATTTCTGGACAGGCATGATAATGACTCCGCCAAACTTGGTTTCTCTAGGCAGCCCTTCTATTTGTATCTCCTGCATCCCGTGAAGATGGTCCTCTTCCAACCTAACATGGAACAGTACAGATCCCCTTTGAAATTCGAACAATAGTTGTTTAAAGGCCTTTTCTGGCTTTCCATGTTAGCCCGGGGGAGGACAAATCGAAACCCTAACCCTATATAGCCCTACATTATGCCTATATGAGCTATAGGGGACAATATAGGGGACTATTATAAGGGTTACTAAGGACATTATGACATAGACTATACCTCATATGTTAACAGACCTAGGAAGCTTTTCAGAGCCGCAATGCTTCGTGCCTCATCGTTGGCGATTGCTTTCCTGGCCATTGCGCACTGCGGCCATGCCAAAGACGACGTGCCCTTCGAAACTTGTCGAAATCTAAATAAAACTGGGCAAGCTAGAAGGACTCTCACTTTAGATGGAGACTCTCAAGGGAAATTCAAACCTACAAGATTGTTCTTTGCAACGCGCCGAGACTTACGACAGCCACAACTTAGGACCCGATGTCGGCATTGTTGCTTATTGGGGTGTAGTCCCCCTTCAGTAGATAGAATATGGGGTATATGGGGATCTTATCAGAATATACACACAACGATATTCTACATAAACTCTGAGCCGCAGGGAAGTGGTTAAGTTTCATGGTTGTATACACCCTGGCAGTGCTTTTCAGTTTCTTCTATGCTACCAACATATCCATGAAGTCTTGAACGAGCCCAAGCTTCACAGCCTGTCAGCCCTAACAGCAATCCGATTGTGTCTGGGTGTATGCTACATGTTTTAGGTGTTTTGCATCATCAACTGGCATTTCCTAAAGAAACAAGATCTTGAACCCTAACCCTGGACCCTATAGACCTCTCCAGACCTTGTGTGACTGGCACGCCCAAGGTTGATTGAACCTACTTGAGGGTCACCGGGACTTACTAACTAGGTTCATACTTCGGATAACTAGGGTTACTACATGGGTTGCAGGGCTCATTAACCCACTTACTACGTCCCCCTGACCCTCCAAGCACCTGGTAAGTGTAATTGTGCTTTTCAGCTTCAGGTACAGAAGCCATGCTATGAAGATCTAAACTTCGGGTGTTAACTGGGAATTGGTTATCCTTGACCTCAAGTACTGCCCGTACACTCACAGTCACAATACACCAGAGATCCGTGGATGAGCCTGTCACTTCCTTGTGTCGTAGCTGTGGCTTAGGGTATGGGATGTACGTTATTGCTCACTCGAGTCAGAAATCAGGAGCTAACAAGCGCACCCCTATGGGGCCAACCTGAAATTATTCAGATAAGCTTGTAGAAACATCCCCGCCTATATTGTGATCAGTTGTGTATCGCTCGCATTTGACTGATCGTGCATATCGACAAGAAGGGTTTCGGAACAGATGCCTCCTCTCAGCCTACGAACTTCGGACGCCTATGCCTGGAAGGTGCATGCTTTAGAGGCCTGAGCAACTAGGAACAAGATCCTCTTGCCATGTGATTCTTGAACACCAGCCTAGTACGAAATTATCGGAATTTTGTTCGCATCGCCTGGGCGGCTTCACTTTTTCCGTAAGGTTCAAGTACTGAAGCATTGGGTACATGGACCCTCTGGGTTCTGGTAGTTGAAGACCTTCTGGGAAATGTTCCGATCACAGATGGCAATCAATGAGCTGGTTTTTGCCTCATCTGCATAAGCGCCACTTACTTGCTGCTGCTTACTGGGGAACAGGGGAATTGGCCGTAGATGCGCAGGAATTATTAATTATGGAGAATCATATCGGACTACTACTTCGATCCATTGCCGCCCTTGCTACGCAAGGAGCACTACAAGGCTCCATTCCCCATTCCCAAGTAGGCGCCCTAAAACCTAAAACCCTCAACCGCGAGCAAGCTTAGGACAATGCGAACGTCCCTAGCTGGGTGCCTGGAATGCCGGGCATCGACCAGGGAACCATTTACTTCACCTACGCCAAGGCATAAGTCTTAAGATTGCATGCAATCCCCGGGCGGCTTGGGGTTAGCGTGCTAGGGCTAAAGCATTTATCCCTATTGGTCCAAGTACCTAATAATATGCTTGCCAAAAGCCTGCACTAGAATTTCTATTGCGCAAAACCCAGATACCTAATTATTGGGTCCCTGGACCCTTTGGTGGGTATTGGCATGTTGGTTCAGAGTTCGGGGCGTGCTTGTGCGTAAGCCGGCCTGGTTCCTTTTCATCTACTTCTCCCCACAATCACCTTACTTACCTCCAGAAGTCTCAGCCCTTCAGGGTTCAGGGGTTTAGGGTTTTAGGTTTAGGGTTTTATGGTTTAGGGTTTAGGGTTTTTATGGTTTGGAGCCCGAAATACTATCGTTCCAGTATCAAGACTCTTGAAATGGTACCACAGATAGCCCATCCTGCCTTCGGGAAGCCAAGTTGATTTTGGGTTTCGCCTACGCGGGGTCTGCGCATCAACCTGCAAAGTCCTCAGGCAACTTACTTTGAGGGTCAAGGGGACTAAGTCAGTGTAAATTTTCACCTCTATGGGCAATATAGTAAGCCCACTTATCCTACTTGTTAACCCTACTCACGAAGTCATCCTGCCCCTGCAAGTAGGTAATGACAAACTGTGAAGGCTTCGGTGGTGGCACAGGAACTACGTAAGACCTTCAGGTTTGGGTGCCTGGAACCTTGCGCGTTGGTACCCAAAACATCCCAAACAGCTTCTTCATGAAGGAGTATATTCTAGCGTGCACAGAGATTCTTCATATGATTCAAGGTACTGTTGATGAACAGTTCCAGTATCATGGTATTTATGATCAGCCTTCAAAACTATGGCTCTATAGTCCACCAACATTCCTTGTATGAAAGGCGTTTGAAAGCCCTGGGCACCCTTCAAACCCTAATCAACAAACCGTAAGCTGCACGTATCGTTGTCTCCCTGTGGTCCCCTTAAAGTGAAGCTGCACCCTCCAATAGCTCCATAGGACTCTGTGGAGATTCTGCTGTTGATCCTTCTCGGTGTGCCACTCTTCAGCAAACCCTAACTTCCGCAATTCCTTGGATTCAGGGTGGGGTCAAGAAATCTGCCGAGCTCTTCCCCCACCCCGCTCGCAATCTTAGTGAGGTTTGCTACGGGGGCCTCACATAAGTACGCTAAAACAGTTATCTAACTGTTGCTGCGTTGGGGCAGTAACAAGGGAACATGGGAGTCTTTCAGTATTGTCTTGATAGAGTTCCGTAGGAGGAGGAGAAACGCTCGTAGACGCAAAAGTCTACTACGATTCCTCATGATGCAAGGCAACCCTAAACCCCCAAGCCCTTAAACCCCAAACCCCTGAACCCCTAAACCCTAAACTTACTGGGCTGACAGACAGAAGTGTAGATCAATGCTGCCACATGTGGCTGTAAGGCACTCATCCCCGGGCCTAAAAATCCAAAGGGTTTAGGGTTTAGGCCTGAGAAATTGTAGACCCAGTAGTACTTGGGGCAACATTAGGGCTAAATTGGGATAATGGAAAAGATTAAAAGGAAATGAAAACTACCATTTAGGGTTTAGGGATAAGCCCACCGACCCCCGCTAATCATGAAGGACCTGGGCATGGGACCAGTATACACTGTTACCATCGCGTAGGAACATGAACTGCGTTGCGTTGAGAAACTACCTTTCGCACGACTCCATCTGCAGACCTTCGACCTTCGCTGACCTTCCCTAACTGTCGACGCCTACCCTAGAAGAGTCCAAGTGGTGGGCCAGCGGCTGCATCTCCTAGTTGCATTGCTTAGGCTAGCTGCCTGCTGGGATAAGCAGCTAAGCTGTCATGCGCAGGTACAATCTCATGTCATGCGCTTGCGAGTGCAGCATGATTAGGGAAAACAATCCTAAACCCTTACTAAGACCTGTGCTTGGTGGATGGACTTCTGGCGCCGCTTATTATCTGCAGATTCTGAATCTGTGACCGTATGAACCTTCCCAATCCGAACTCCAATCTCTGAGCCTCATCCCTGATCCTCAAACCCCACCTGGACATTCCATAACCTCGACTTTGGGATATATGAGCTATAGTCTAAACTCCTTAAAGTAGTTATATTATGGAGGATTATATGGGGGGCTACTTTGGGGGTTATAAAGGGGGATACTAAGAGTTTACGCTGTGGCTCATATAAAGCAACAATAGAGGCCATAGCCCCAACCAAGGTAGTTTCCATAGGGTCCGTGCAATCCCAGAACTTAGGATCTATAAGCGGCGCATCACCAACGAACGGCGGCAACTTCCCCCGCCGCCTCCGCGACAGGCCGCCCGTCAATCTTTGCGGGTTCGGGGGTAGGATGTACAGGCTTTATGATATGAGGGTCGACGGAGAAGGGCTTCGACATGCTTGCGATGAGGCTAGTTTGTAATCCTCTTCCTGCACTTCTCAAGTCTCTCAACATTGCCTAGAGAAACTGGGCCCAAACACCGAATAGTTGGACAAACTAGGCTATATCAGATGGCCATGTGGATTTTTATGGCAGTGCAGGGCGGGTGAAGGGGGGAAAGGGCTGAGTCGTTCTTGCACGGGGTTCCTAGCGTACCATCCAGACAAGCAGCAAAGAGCCTTGGGATGGAGTTGCTTGTTGTTCCCAAAAGATATCTGAGGATTTGAAAGAGAGTGAGCTTGAAGGAGTCTCTTTGAGATGATTTTGTCAGAATGATATGGGTATTATTTGGAGAAGATGTACAGGTCATGCACGCAAACGAGCCATAGTCTTAATTCTTCAAAGGTGGGTTATATAGAGGACCACTATAGAGGACAGTAATAGAGATATTACTAGGAGTGTAGACTATAGCTCACATGGCTCTGGCTGCATGCCATTCTGAAATGGTCCGGCTTTAGGCCTCATCAGTCAGGATTTGCGCCGCTTAGGCTGATGCATTGTCAGTATCCTGTTTTGGGGTTATAAGCTACAAGACAGAGGGTATCTCTACTTCCTCAGCTCTACACCCTAATAATCCCTAAGCCCTAGCCCCTAAACCATTAACCCTAAACCTCATAAAGCATATAGTCCTTCCAGATTCTTGCTAAACTGGGGGTTGCACATTTCCTCAAAGGTTGCTTGTCTCTGCCCATACGAAGCATACGAAGTAGGGTGTGGATTCCGTTTTTTGGGGTTGAGTATGTGCAGGCATCCTTGAGCAGAGTTTGGGGTAAATGTATATTATGTGGCTTTCTGTTTGAAGCATCAATCTGGGTATCCACCAGATAACGCTAGGACTCGTGAGGTTCTAGCGTACCCTTTGAGCTTTCTAACCCTTAGCCAACGCTCTGAAATTCCAACTACCCCTGAACCCTAAACATTAAACCGTGTACGGGGTGTTCTTGAGGTACACCATACACAGGAAGTACGGGGTGGCCCCTGAGAAGTAGGGAAGCCCTCTAGGGAGCTTCGTTTTTTGGGGGGAATTGCAAAAGAAATATGGGTATCCATGTTAAGGACTATGCGAGATCATCTGCAGAAACCACACCCTCAAAACTTTCTGGTTTCGTTTAAAGAAATCTTCGTTCCTTTATATCAAATCCAAGGGATTACCCTCAAATTCGTACCTGGCGCTCGGTAGGGAATGAGGGAGCGGACCCCCTGTAATAGCCCTATGTTAATCTTCTCCAGGTTTCAACCACCTACTATCGGTTCCACTGTTCCATACCAAGCGCCAATGAGTTTTGGATCATGGCAATTTGCTGGGTATATGAGTAGTATTTTATTTGGGGATACTATGGTACCCATTATAGAGTAAGATTCTATCCTCCTTTTGGGGCATAGTATTTTATGTAAGGAATATCGTCTTACTAGATTCAACCAAAAAACACTACTCATATGGACCTTTTGCCAAACCCTTGGCTCACCACCCCCAATGAAAATCTAAACCCTGAAACACCGAATTCCCCAAAATGAACTTTCAACCTGAATCCTACAGACCTACCCTAGACCCTAAACCCTAAACCCTAAACCTGCATCTTCAGGATTTCCAGACTCCCGCCTTTTCTTGCCTCTTGCCCAAGTTTGCTTGCTGACAGGTTGTCATGAGGCCTGCGGTTTGTAGATTCCTCAAAGCAGGAGGGTCAAAAAAGGAAGGTACCTCCAAAACAGAAACCCGCAGCTGGAGAAATTAAACCCTTAAACCCTAAACCCTACACATCCACCTGGTCCTCGACAGGAGTCATAGGGATGATCACAGGATTTCAGGGGTCTACATCGCGATGTCCCTTTCCGTATCATCTGTGGGTCAGCTGTTGAATGCTTAGCTACCCGGCTGGGTTTAGGGCTTAGGGTTTAGGGTATATAAGGTTTGGTAAACACCCTTCAACCCTAAACGGTGAAAGGCGTGCAAGCTTTCGGTTCTTGCTCTTTCAGGAGGAGTCCGGCAGTGTTTTGACATGATGTAGTCCCTCTGTAGGGCTATGTAAGTGTATACATGGCTACATATGATATTTTGGGTTTAAAGCGGGTCCTGTTTTGGGTCCCGCACATATGCAGTTTGCTTCATAATGCCAACCTCCAAAGAAACTACAATTTTGCCAGCCCGCCGTATGTAAATTTTCGAACTGGAGTCCGCCTTCTATTGCCGCCGGGTTTCAGAACCCAAAACTACATACCTTCTCTCCCCTGCCCAGAAGAAGGCCTAGGCTTTTAAAACATGTCTTGGGCAGGGTGTTGCACGGGCAGGCGTAGTTTCACAAAACAAGGAAGTCAGGTTCAGGATGTAGTGTTTGCCTTAAACCCAAAACTCACAAGGGCGTCAGTGCTAGGACCTTGTAGTATGCATCCGATATGAAGCCCTGAAACCAAAGCTCTCTTGTGTGTCTAAATTAGGGTCGGGCCCAACAGCTCCCCTAGACCAACATGAAACGCCATGTGAGAACTGTAATCTTGAGCGCTCCAATGGAGGAATAGTGTAGCAATAAAAAGTTAGATTCCATTAGCTTGCCTTGCTTATAACATGGCCAGAGACTACTTCGTGGTCCCTAACTACTTCTTTATTGCTTGTCCGGGCCGTTAGGTACGCCACAAAAGATGATCAGACCCCAAACCCTAAACCAAAGTTGAGCCCTATGTATAGCCCGCGGAGCAATCCACTTACAACCGGCTAACTGGAGGTAACTGGTGTTGCGGGTAATCCCGACTAAGGTTGCGATCACCTTGGGACGTTTCTGTGGTCATTCTTTCTGCAGCAGATTCGCATGGGCGACACCTACGAGGCCCTTTCTCATAGACGATGGCTCACATGCTGGGTTCAGGGTCGATTTCAGGTTCCACTGATGATGAACGGATGAACGGGCCGTATGTTGTACCTCGGCACTTCAGCCGGTAGATGTGTCGACCTGGATGCCTGTGCGTATGCCCTGCTGAAACATGCTCGCTCAATTTTGCTCTCGAACTCCTGCCTAGCTTGGATCTGCAACTCCTAGGTACGGATCATATTCTGAAAGTCGGAAGGCCATGTGAGACCGCAAGCAAATGCAGGCGTCAGCATTTTTGCGCTGAGAATTCTGGGTCTTGCCTTGCCTTCTGAGCATGTTCACAGGTTGGTTGAAGATCCAACTCGCGTGCAATGCTCACTTGTGCGCCTCATTCCTTCCAAAACGTCTATACCTTCTGCAGAATGGCATCGTCAGATCTGCTCGCCCTACATTACAAGCCAGGTTTACATTTGAAAACGTGCTGCATACTCCGGCCAACGGAAGACCTGAAGGGTTCAGGGTTTAGAGTTCTTTGGGATTCAGGGTTTAGGTGTTAAGGTTCTTTAGGAGTTGTTTTAAGGTTGGATGCATGGGCTCACAGTTTGGGCGCTTAATACACTTTCCGGGATTCTGCGCGCCCAAGATAGTATTGATGTACCGATTACTAGGGTATAGGCTACATATATATATATACACATATATACATACATACCTACCTACCTACCTACCTACGTACGTGCATGCATGCATGCATGCATGCATGCATGCATGCATACATACATACATACATACATACATATACACATACACATACACATACACATACACATACACATACATATATATATATATACCTATGTGTGTAAGGACCCCAAGCTCAAGTGCCCAGTGTAGGTTTCATTCCAGGATATAAGGGTCTCCTTTCGGCCTAGGGGCTTGCTGTACGGATTGTTGTGAGAGACTGCCAAATCAGCATGAGGATGCGGCATCCAAAGCTTTGTCAAGTTCAGGGCTCCGGGACCCCCCACGTTTAGGGTTTAGGGTTTAGGGTTTAGGGAGTGTTTCTCAATGTGAGGGTCCTGTCAGGTTCCCGAGAAATTACCAGAACCCGCAAGCAAGCCCTGATGGATGTTCTGCCTGGAGGTTCCTGGGAGCTTAGTAATGCTTACCTGGAATTATCACCTTGCGTATACTTGGGGTAGCCCCTACCCGGCATCTAAGTGTGTTATAAGTAGGGGCTACAAGCCCAGGTTGTCAGTAGGCACTATGTCTCATGAACCTCCACTCAGGGTTCCATGTATAATAAGAGGATTTTGGTAACCCCAACCTCTAAAGTAAGCACCCTATAGCCATCATATGACAGTCATAGGATCCTAATTTCTGCGGGTTGGGGCTACCAAAATTATTCTATTAATGTAAGCTTGGGGAAGAAAATTCCTAAACCCTAAATCCCTAAATCCCTAAACCCTAAATCCCTAAACCCATTCTGTAGCTGGCCTTGAAATCGCCTCTCTCCGCAGATGGCGGGCGTGGTTTTCTTTTGGGCGCCGAGCCTCGGCCTTGGGGATTAAGCCGATTAAGGCTTGGGGTTTAGGGTTTAGGATTTAGGGTTTCGGGTTTAGGGTTTAGGGTTTAGGGTCTTGGGTTCAGAGTTTAGGATTTAGGATTTAGGGTTTAGGGTTTACGCTTGGGTTTGGGATTTGAAGTTGGGTTTAGGGTTTAGGTTCGTGGAGCTTGGGAGGAAAGGCCTGGTTTTGATGCTCTACATTTCAGACTCAGGGGGCGTCACAGCTTAACACGTTGCAGTTTTCGTGAAGAAAAGAACTCCAGCACCGCTCTGAGCACACTACATCCGAAGAAAGGCATAAATCCAGTGCCTGTATGGTGCCAGATTTCCTTTTTTGATCGGCAGTACCTTTGCCGGGACTCCTTCAGGTCAGCAAGGAGGGCTTTGAGTTTAATGTCTGCTTGGAGTTTTGCAGGGAATTGTTCAGTTACGGCTATGAAGACTATTTGACCGATGTACTCCTTTCATAAATCATGGCTTTGGGTCTATTAGAGCAAGTGTCGGGTAGGCCCTCGAAAAAGTCCTGGGCATATTTGCAGTGATCATGGTATTCTCATCGCCCACCTAGACTTGAAAACATACACTCCACGAAAACCCTAAACCCTAAACCCTAAACCAGGAAGGTGGTACCATAGCACCAGGGCTCCAAGCAGCTCAAAGTAGGTAAGGTTCCTAGGCTTAGAGGCCCCATGTGGGTATTCTTTACGGACCCAGGGCCCATGGCATGGCTTTTGAATAGAGCTACATCAGGCTGTTGGATAAAGAATCATGCAGAAGCATGAACGGGTTTAGGATTCTGGGTTTAGCGTTTAGGGCTTAGAGTTTAGGGCCAACATGATGGTCTCAATTCTCCAAGTGACGGAGAAGCACATGGATTCGCATGGACGACAAATAAATTGAACCGGTGGCTATATACGGTTTATCGGGATGGCAATCACTTAGAATCCTTAAGCAGTGTGTTACAGGCTACCTCAATTAAATCCCAAGATTTCATTGGTAATGATTCTGACCCCTGTATTGCTTGTAACAACCGTAGGGCCTGTAAGTGTGGAGATTTTTCGTGTCTGGCTTAGAAGGCATCAGGCACTGGCTGCCTGAGGTGACGGACTAGTTTTTTTTTGTTTGTCCTTTGGGCCTAAACCCTATACTCTTAGCACGCCCCTCAAACCCAAACCTTAACCTTAAGGCCTCAGGCCCAAATCCTTACCCCTACCCCTCCACCCCAATAATGGTAAATACATTATGTCGGGGATACTAAGTGTTGCAAGACTTCCTCCATCCACCGTAGCTCCATGCTCAGGACACTAGTCTTCATCGCATCAAGGATCATTGCCAATCTTATGGGACTTGTTCCAGGCAGGTTTCCCTGCCCAGATGCTCCAAACGTGTATTTGGTACGTGGTTGGCCTGAGAAGCCCATGGGTTTGGGGCTTTTAGGCTTCAGGGTTTGGCAAGACTCGGTAATGGGTTTACACGGTTTGGGGTCTGGGGTTGGCAGATGGGTTGCCAGAGACTCTAGTCCTCCTTGTGGTAACAAGGCGCGTGCGTCTCAACGCTTTGCAGCGAGATTTGACATGAAGGGCCAAGACTTCGGCGAGGTCAAAGCTGTTTTAGTAGCTGGCAGTGTAGGGTTTAGGGTTTTGGGGTGTGGATTGAGAGTTAGCTCAATGCTTTTTTCAGCTGAGGGTTTTGGATGAGGCTTCGGGTTCAAGGTTTAGGGCTGGACACGTCGTATGTAAAGAGAACCCGCTGCAAGTACTGCGCTGACGCATATTCTACTACACGGACTTGCAAGAGCGACCTCATGATTTTGTGCGGTAGTAGACCCAGGGGACGACACAATCAGGGGATTTTAGCCACCTCAAACCCCTATAATAAGGACCCCATAGCTATCACATGATTGTAATACGGTCCTAATTGGGGGGTTCGTTTGTGCATTTCGGGGGTCTCGAAGATCTCCTCAACTCTCAGGGCAGGATTTCCTTTTGCCCCAATAAAGGCGACGTGAAGGCCTCAATGAAGGATCCTCTTTCCTCATGCTAATTTGAGGAGACTGACTTGGAGGGTCATGCGGACTTAGTCACTAGTTTAATATGTAGGATAGCTAGGTTACTATATGGGTTATAGGGGTTATTAACCTACCTACTAAGTCCCCCTGACCCTCCAAGCATGCTTACACATCACAACCCCAAGTCTCGATTGTGTTGTGGTCCATATCAGTCCTTATGCAAGCTTTAAGTTCTGTGCTAGCCTCAAATGAGGTGGGTTTTTGTAATACTGCTCTGGCGAACGTACCTTCGTTTCCTTTTGACGGTTGTTTGGGGCACCCTAAACCCTAAACCCTAAACCCTGTTGTTTAGGGCACACCTGGATATCGTCTCAATTGAGTCATGCAGTCACACGGTATAGAGCTTACCTCTATGCCCAAATCGCCGGTGGGGCTACTTAAGTGAAGATGATAGCGGCCTCTCATGGGACTAAAGACTGTTTCTTGAACATGTGAAACTTCGTGCAGAATCATAGTGAAACATCCAACGCGGAGACCATTGGCTACAAGTCGACCCAAGAAACCTAACCTCAAGCCCATCCCTAAACCTCTACGGCCAAAAGCTTTTTGCCACATCACGGAGCATTCTGTTTTGGACTCCAACCAAGAGCCCCTACCTGCTCCCCTGGTCTTACTTATGGAGCCCTAAAGTGAGTTTATGTAGTTTATGTAGGGTTCCAGATGGACATACAGGGTACATGCTAGGCATGTAAGGACCGCAAGATTAAGGGCCCAGACTGGCGCGTTTAGGGTTTAGCTTCTGGCAGGCATGATTGCCGGTCTGCCCACTATGTCCATGTTCTTCTTCCAGGGCCTTTTCTATGTGCCGCAGCTGAGAGGGTTCGGAGTTCAAAGCTTAGGATTCCACTGGACCCATTGATTCAGCTGCTTTAGATTGTTCGAAGACGTAACGGGTATCTGCTTGCAGTATACTATTGCCATACGTTCCTGACTGAGATTTCTGAAGTCCTGGGCCAAATTTTGGGATGCCAGCTTGCTCACAGCGAGCTAGCCTGCAAAGATACCAGCAATTCCCACTAGCATGGGAGGAAGTAGTCTAAGAATGGCGTTGGCCCACAGTACTGTGCCCCGGGGTACCCCGACAGTAAACCCTAAAACCCTAACCCTGAATCCCAAACCCTAAGTACTAAACCCTAAACCCTGAATCCTATGCCTAAACCATATGCACTAAACTTTCAACACTAAACCTTAAACCCTAAACTCCTAAACCTTATATCGCGTACCCTAGCCCCTCCAGATGTTTAATCCTAGGCCTTAGACCCTTGACCGTGAATCCTCAATCCTAAGCCCTCTACCCCAAAGCCTAAATCCTCAGCTCTTTTTACACTAACTCCGAAGTCCCTGGCCCTTTGCCCCATGTTTTGGTCCCCCCCCCGTCCCCAGCCCAAACCTCTGAAAAGTGCCACCAGTCACGGGGATGTGGCCCCTCGAGGTCGCGATCCTCGAAACTGTCGTCGTTTTTGACGCCTCAAAGCTGCCATCCTTGTAACTTTTGTCTCCTCGTGCTTTTCTCGCATCTCAAAAGTCCCAACAACAGCCACAGGGTCCACAGGGGGGAGGAGGGGGACCATACGGGGGGGGAGTAGCAACCCTGGATCATATATACCCTATTCTACTACTGTAGTTTCCATTTTCTTTTCCATTATCCGTATAGAACCCCATATACCCCAGCATAATCCCCCTAAACCCCAGATCCTACACCCTAAACCCCAAATCCTAAACCCCAAATCCTAAATCCTAAACCCTAAGCCCTAAATCCTAACCCCTCCCCAACCATCCCCGACCATCTCTGAGTTCCGCTGGCGCCGGGCGCTGCGCCGCCGAGTGACGGAGGAAGCTGTGGAGGCTCTCGGGCTGCTAACTTGTGCTCCATGGGGTCAGAGGAGCCATAGGGATTATATAGGGGGTTATATAGGGTTTAGGATTTGGGGTTTAGGGTTTAGGGTTATATAGGGTTTAGGGTCCGGGGTCTAAACTCCTTAAAGGGGGTTATGTAAGGGATGACATAAGGGATTATTCTAGGGGTTATTAAGGGGGATACTAGGAGTTTAGACTACTCACCCTGAACTCCAGTCTCACATGGAGGGTCATGGGGACTTGGTTAGCAGGTTAATAATTAGGGCAGCTAGGGTTACTACATGGGTTATAGTTCTAGGTGTTATGAACCTACTTAATTACTAATTGCCCCTGACCCTGCAAGTAGGGATATGTAGGGATCCTAGACATACTGTTGATACTAAAAGCCCTGCATAACCTTAGTATACTATAGTACCATGATTCCCAAGGTTTAGGGTACTTGGGGTCATGCAGGATTTGCAGTGTCCACCGTATATAGGGGTATAGGGACCTATAGAATATTGAGTTTGAGGGGCGGCATCTACCTCCCTAATTATTCTTATGCAGCTGTAGGGCCTATGGGAGACTCAGGTATGGGCCTAGGAGTTATAGGGGTTGGAGATGAATGATCGGGAGGATTCAGAAAGTGATCGTGTTTTTTGCACTCCCTGTTCAAGCCCTCCTTCTCAGGCTAGATTGTCCATGGCTTCTGGGTTTAGTCGGGTCCAGTTAAGAGAGGTTACAGATTACAGGAACTACTTGAGAGAAACTGGAAAGCCATGTTCATTGGCATCGTGATATCTGCTGAAGTTCTGATAAACGCGCCAGGCAAATCATTGCAAGCAGCAAGAGCGAGAGGCATGGCATGTTATCATTACAGTTTTATAGTAACAACGGGAATGCAATACTTCTTCAAATTAAAGCCAGACAAGACAATAGCCCCGCCGTGGATAACATCTGTCAACTCTGTTGCTCAAAGAAAGTATCACTCATAGACCTGGAGCCCAAGGAGAGCACACGTCTCAAAAGGGCGCAGGTTCGGGCGTATACGGCTTATGTTCATATGGGTTTAGGGTTTATACCATGTCGGCACATTGTCACGACCCTATCGCTCGAAGGCTTGAAAAACAGAACTTAACGCAGAGTCTCTTCCCGTGCGGGCCACTGCTGTAATGTAGAAGCACGGACAATGTCCAGCAATATTCCTTTATGACCAAATACCCCTATAAAGTATACAGTATACCTCAAAACCCTGTTCTAAACATTTTTCGCCCCTTTGAGGACCAGTGCTGTAGCGACTTCTTGCTCTACAGCTGTTGTGCCTCATGCCTAGCCACGCAGGAGCCCGGCGACTCAGGGATTGTCGTTAGGGTTCATGGTTTAGCATTTAGGGTTTGAGTACTTGGGGGTCATGGGACTTAGTAAGTAGGTTAATAGTTAGGATAACTGGGGTTACTATATGGGTTATAGGGGTTATTAACCTACTTACTAAGTCCCCCTGACCCCCCAGGTAGGGTTCAGGGTGCAGGGTCTAGGGCGTTACTAGAGTTGTGTTTGTGGTCCGCTTAGGGCAGATTTGTTCAGGGCTTAAATAGAAGGTCTTATTACTCTTTATATTGTATTGCTAGCAAATTATTATTGTTTTTGCCACAGTTACTCTTGCTACTGCTATTCTGTTTGCTATTATGACTGTTACTCTCACATTGCTGTTCGTATTCCTGCTATTCCTATTGTCAGCATGACTATGATGATTATTTTCTCCTGAAGTTGAAGGATGTAGGGGTATATTCAGCCAAGGGAGGCATAGGAGGGCTAGGCACTTTTTCGGCTTCCGGGTTGAGCGTTTAGGGTTGTAGGGCTTAGGGCTTAAGATTCGCGGGACAGGGTCAGAAACTCTTTGTGGTGATGTGGAACATTTCAGTAGTACTTCATTCACGCTAAAGCTTGCCGCAGAGGCACGCGACTTGCTGAAGTGTCATATTTGGGTATTGACCCCACTCAGCAACAGCTGGATAACAAAATTTAGTATGGTTATAATATGACCAAGTGTTATATTCCACCAGCCCAAAACCCTGCACAACCTCGGAAGATTCACGAAATCTGCTGACTACAACTCAGCCCCAAGCAGAAGAATTCTGGAAGCTCCCGTATGGACATACAACCAGAGCCCGGCAATTTTGAAGTTGCAGTGTATCCTATCTGCCCCCCCTCCCCCCTTCTCCATATGAGCTACGGACTGAAGTTAGGCTGGGGGGTACCTATGGGGGAATATATAGGGTTCTAGGGGGGACCTATTAAGGGATGTACTCGGACTTTACTCCAGGGCTCATATAGTACCCGTTATATCCCCTAAACCTTAAACCACACCATAAACCTTTCAAAATCATCTAGGAACCTGTAAGGATTGAGAAACAGAAGCACTTCGACTATGGAGTTCGCAAAGTGGAGGGAT